AGTAAACTACTGGGGACTTAAAGACCTTGGCCAGTGCCAGTCGCTGGCACCCACCCAGTACTCCAGGTCTTCTCACTTCCAGGGGATTGCTCCCTGGTCCAGAGATCTCCTCCCTCCCTCAGGCTGGCTGGGCAGTGCGCACTGAATGGGTGTTGGTCAGAGTGGCCAGATAGCAGACCCCTTCTCTCAACCTCTAGCTGTGATCAGATGCTCCGGGGCCTGCAGTGCATAAAGCCCACGTGAGGTCCACGCAGTGACCTGACCATTCCCTGTGATGAGGGCAGGGAGAAGATCAGGAAAGCTGGACAGATGCTGTTCTCTTCATGGCAGAGCCTTGCTCTGAGTTCTGAATCCCTGATCAATTTAAAATGGGTAGTCTTCCATCACTGTGTCTTGCTATGTTTGGTATGTTTAATTCTATCACAGATGGCCTCTGGCTTACTTACTGGTGTGTTTTAAAAGGAAGTTGTTAAAAAAAAATAGGAGAAAGAAAAAAGTGAAGCTGCTGTTTGTAAAACAAACATTTGATGAATATTTGTGATCTTGTCGGTGTGGCTGGAGCCCACAGGTGTGTTCACCTCTGCAGCCCACCAAGGCCACCTTGCAAGTGGTCGTGCATGCTTGGCCCTGACAGAAGATTCTCTTTTCTTCTGCCTCTTGGAATGATAGAAAATAATTATAGAATGAGGGTGACAGGGAATTGTATTCTCTCTGTGTTGGCTTATGCCCTTTTTATTATGTTTTGGTTGGTCTTTATTACCTGGTATTTGAAGAGCAAAGGGAGACAGAACTGACCATCAGCATGCACTTTTCACACTAAAGCCTATGGAAAGAAAGTTAGGATCCACAGACCGTCGTCTGAAACCTGCTCTGTGTCAGGGGCTAGAGCTTTACCTGTGCTATCCCATTAACCTGCAGCACAGCGCTCTGGAAAGGTCCTTGCCCAGACTCACAGAGAGGAGGCCCAGCCCACTGCTGGTGTCTGGGCTGACTCCAACCTGAGAAGACAGTGACCTACGTTAGGCCATGGTGATGTAACCAGAAGGCAGAGTGGGGAGTCCTTAAAAATCTTGTCTTCTCAGCATTATATGGTGATTATAACCAATATGTCCTGAGCGGTCCCTGCATGTCAAGACTAGTCAGGCTCATCAGTCCATTCGGCCTCACACCGCCTCTGTGACACAGGTGCTGTCATCACACCCACCACACAGGGAAACCGAGCCACGAAGAGGCCAAAGAACCTGCTGGGGTTTCACTGTCTGCATAGCCATTTCTGCTCTAAGAAACTGATTGCTTTGACTGAGGGCCTCCCAAGCACTGCAATCTTTGGGGAACGTAGAAACGACGTAATGTGGGGGTTACCATTTAAAGCACCCTAAATTAAAACCCATCAAACAGACCTGAAGTGCCAAGTTGGCTATTATGTGAGCCTCATATTTTCAGAAACCCACAAAATTGAGAGATGAGGTTTTATAAAGGATTTTCTTTTATTTTCTTTTTTAGAGACCAAGTCTCACTTTCTCGCCCTGGATAAAGTACTGTGGGGTCACAGCTCACAGCAACTTCCAATTCCTGGGCTTAGGCGATTCTCTTGCCTCAGACTCTGAGTAGCTGGGACTACAGGTGCCCCACAATGCCCAGCTATTTTTTTTGCAGTTTGGCTGGGGCTGGGTTTGAACCCGTCACCCTCAGTATATGGGACCAGCACCCTGCCCACTGAGCCCCAGGCGTCGCCCAGGATTTTATTTTCTGATTATGAACTAACACTAGTGAAGTTTAGCTAGAATCTGTGTGCTCATGTATTGAACAACTCCTCTGTGATAGGCAGCGTCTGTAACCACGTTTTCTCAGCCCTTTCACCCCATTTCCTCCTGACAGTTCTCTTTCTGTTCTTTTGTTTCCTCGAGAAAAAGAAAAGGTAGGGGAAACCTTTAAAGTGAGAAAAGTGGTGACTTCTAAGTAACGTGCAGATGGCAGCCTGTGTCTTCCATGTCCTCTGTGGCTCCAAGTCGTGCCTCAGAGTGAGATGATCAGGGAGCCCTCAGAAGGCCATGGCTGTCGCCATCCGGCTTCACTGCTCAGCCTTGCTGACCACGGTCTGTGCCCACCTTGGAGCACCTCGGGGTTCCCCGTTGGTAGGGACTGACATTGTTGACGCTTGGCCCCTTGGGCTGCTTTTCCCATACTCAGGGTCCCTGAGTCTGCCCTCTGCACCCCACTCCCGTTTCACCCTGGAGAGCACCTGTGTCGTACGCGCCTTTTCCCCTGCTCCACTAAAGGCTCCATACCTGGCTGATTTTTTGGCATAGGAAGCAGTCACCACTTTTTTGGCCATTCATACGCATTTTAAGAACAAAATGGGGACTCCCTCCTCCCCTCTCACAGAATTTCTTCCCTTGCCATTTTTGTTAGGAGGCTTTTGTAAGACCAAAGCAGTGATGGCTTTTGTCAGAGAACAAGCAGATCACAATTTATTAAACCAGAGCAGGTAGTGGCTGAATTAAGGGACTGGTCAGGCACCTACTCAGGCTGGAGGAAGAAGAGCCACCCCCTTTTCCTCCTGCTCCTGGCTCCCCTCTGCTGGGAGCACCAGACTGCCAGTCTCCAGCTTCTTCCCAGGAGAGGTGCGGCTCTCCTGAAGCTGCCTAACTCCGGACCTGGTTTTCCTGAAGCTACCTAACTCTGCCTGTGCTGAAAGCAAAGTGCTTGAACTTTAAACCTGAAACCCTCGCAGTAGTATCTCCTTCAGAACCTTCACCATCACTCTCATTATTTTCTAATGCAAAACAGCTTTTGTTTATATTGCTGGGTAACACTGTATCAGAAGATGAAGATAATTTTGAATTTCTTGTTACTGTAAGCAGTTTCTCTGATGCTTCTCATAAATCTGATTCTGATGATTAGAAAAAGCTGCTGTGGTGCAGGAGCAAAACAAGACATGAAAGGAGCAAAACAGCCAGTCCGGAAATGGAAGCTGTGGATGTGTTTGAAAATTGATGTGTGTGCCATGTGCTCAATTTAGAACACACTACAAAATTCAGGGTACTCAGTCTCCTCCAGGAGGTTTCACTGTGCTAGTGCCTACATATGTGGCAGAATCTGGGCATGAGAATGTAGGGAACTTATTTTCAGGTGGAAATACTCTCTTTAGAGTGTGACATGGCAAGAAATGAGTACTATTCCCAATAGTCATGTCCAAAGCCCTTTAAAAACAGAGGTGTATGTCACGTTGGTCATGAAGAAGTAACACTTTCACTTCCTACACCACAACTTCAATCTGTGATGTGGTTAAGGCAGTTGTTCCTAGTGGGGGTTGTAGCCCAGATGAGGCTGGGTTAATAAATAGCTGTCTGCCTCTGGCATGAGCGAGGACCCCTCATTAAGGTGGTCATCTGTCAAGAATGCTGCACAGGTTGTCATGGTATCTGTGGGTTTCAGCCTAGACTCTGCCTTCCCCTGAAATTAAAAATGGTTAGTTTTCAATAAAAGGTACTTCCTTACACAAGAAAGCAGACAGCATGTTAAGTAGGTCAAATGACCAGGGCCCAGGAACCGGGTTGCAAAGGCTGGTAAACACATGGAGATTTTAGAGTAGGTGTTGAGTCTGACAGTTTTTGTGTAAAAACAAAACAAAAACACCTTGTTTTATATCTGTGTCTGTTCCCCACTCTCCCTCAGGAGGGAGTACTCCCAACACACAGACAAGTCCCTTAGAGGGAGCTGCACGCAGGAGCAGCCACCCCACAGGGAGTCGGTCTCGTTCATCCTCATGCCCACAGAGCCTGGTGTGCAGCAGATGTCCAAGGCATGTGGGCTGAGTGAACACATAAATCCTGCTTACCCCGTAGGCCAAATCGGCCCAAGAGTTGGGCATTTGGATTTGTGATTCTGTCATTGACCAACTTCCAGGGGTATCTGCAGACAGCAGATCATTCTCAGACGCTATGAAAAACAACCAGAAATGGACCAGCCGTTGGGCCGTCTGTGCAGGAACAAGGCACTGCAGTTGGGCCAGCTCATGTAGTATTTCTCAATGTCTCCCTGGTCCAGCAGGATTCACGTTCTGAATCCGTCAAAGATTTTAGATGACTTAACAGGAAGTTATATTATTTCCAAAATTTTACAGTTACCTATTTAAAAAAAAGATGATAGTATACTGTACTTCTAAATAACCCAGTTTTGTTGTGAAAATGTTAAGTTTTCACGACCCTGGAGGAAAGCACCTAATTTACTATTTATCTTTGTGCCTTTTATGCTTACATTTCATAGAAATATTAATTAGCAGAGAAATGCAAAATGTAATATTCCTAGGTGAGATGGGAGAAGAAGCCAGAAGCTACCGGTCTGAACTGTCCAGCCTACCTGTTATTACCTGATTTTGTTTATTGTTTTTATTAAGATGAATGATTCTGAAAATAGTATTTTTGTTTCTTTTTACATAATTTCTCAAAGCTCCATAATGCCAAATGGTATCTTGCTAGTGTAGGGAAGGGGCTTTGAAGGCTCTTGGGAGAGAGAGATGAAGCTCAGAACTAAAAGGATATTTTCTGGGTAAACCTCAATTACCTGTAAAATTTGAGTAAAGAGGACATCTTATTTCTCAAGTATCCTGTTAACATTAAGTTCATTGGCTGGTACATAATAGAAGGTAAGTTAACACTATCAGCTTATGTAGGTATTAATTATCATTATGAAAAAATTAGAAATTCTGTTTCTCTTTAGTAAATAAAAGCATACACAACTGATGTTTCTAGAATCTAGGCCATAATTAAAGGAATGTCTTTCCAATCTTGATATGTGCTTAACAGTGTTGATTTTTTTTAATGTACACCTACATTCAACATTAAACTTAACCATAACATAGCAACTGGTTAATTATTAATTTAGACTATATGAAAAGCATTTTCCAAATTGGCCTAATCTGCTGTATAGTTTGCATCACAATTAATTTCTTATTAATAGAAGCTCTGATAGCTAATGAATTCTTCCACTTCCTCTAGGTTTATCCCGATCTACAGAGGACCCAGCCACACCTACAAGGTTCAGAGACTGACAGAGTTCACATGCTACTCCTTCAGAATCCAGGCAGCGAGTGAGGCTGGGGAAGGCCCCTTCTCTGAAACCTACACTTTCAGCACCACCAAAAGTGTGCCCCCCACCATCAAAGGTTTGTACATGTCCATCCTGGGAGAGTGAGGAAGAGTTGGGGCTTAAAGAGGCTCAGTTCTGAGCTTAAGGCTCAGCCTTAAGCAGGCTCTTTTAATAGTATCAGCAAGATAGAATCAAAAGAACATTCTAGAAAAGAAACTTGGGCATTGTGTTGTGCAGGGAGATGAGAGGCCTTAAAAGGGCCTACAGATGCTGTTTTATCAAGTATGTGTAAATATTTGTTATAAACCATAGTTAGGAATGAGGGTCCAATTCTTGGAGTTACAGCCCTTAAGACAATTTAGCACAGAAGGTTTGAGATCCTCATTTCCCAGAGTCTTTCTAAGAAACAGAGGTCGATGTTCATCTTTGGGAAATTTGGTGCCTTGAGATTCAGGCCTGACTGAAACAGCAGCCTCCCTTGGCCATAGCTCGCTGTGGGTGGAGGCCTGTGGGCCCCGCAGCTTGCTGTGGATGGGGCCTGTAGAAAGCTGCAGCTGGCCCAGCTTATCCCGTGGTTCTAACCCTGAGTCCTCTGGCTACTTGCCTTACTTGGGCGAGGTATTGCAGAAGTCACAACACCCTAATACCCAGACATTCAGTGAACAGAAGCCACTTTGGCAGGACCCACCTTCTACTGTGTCTGCTAAGCCCTCAGCCCCTATTATTAGCCACAGAGTCACACCTGGCTGTGCAGCAACCCTGCAGGGCCCCACAGACTGCAGCGGTCATTAAAGCTGAGCAGCCACCTGCCTGCCCCCTCACCAACTCCTGAGTCCACATCTGCTGCCCAGAGGGTGTGGTTCCCACACCAGTCTCTGCTGCTTGTCTTTAGGGGCAGGCGGCAGGAGTGGCTTTACCTAGCTGTTGCCCAAAATGACCCTGGCAGGCAAGTACAACCCGTAGAAAAGGTCCTATTTGTTTTTGGCCCCAGGGCAAGGCAATTCAACTAACTGTGTCCATGTGGAGGAGGCAGTCAGCTACCAGTGGGGCACAGAGTCAATTACAGGAACTCTCTGGACTGTGTTGGGACTGGCTTGGGTTCTGTGGAGGTTCCATTGCTCCCACCATCTTCCTTATGGTAGGCACCTCCCCTGAGGGCTCGGTGGCAGCGTCCTGTGTGCCTGAGAAACTGTTGTGAGCATTGTAGACACTTCTGGGCCACAATGTGTGCCCAGCCCTTCAGAGCAGAAAGATCCCCAAGTGTGCTGCAGCTGACTGGGTCGTTTGTGACAAGAGGGTTGTCACACCAGTTAGCAAGCTTTGAGGGTCTTCTTGGGATTGTAACACTTCGTTTGCTCTCAAAGGAATTCTTGGTAGGAATTCATCTCATGGAAAATAGAAGAGCATTGCGTGGAACTTCTGCTTCAAAAGGATGGTTTCTTTTTCCTTTTCTTAAATTTTTTTTTAAATTTCAAAATATTAATGGAGTACAGATGTTTTGGTCACATGAACACCTTTCATAAGCCTTAGGTCAGGGCTACCCATGTGCTTGTCAGCAACCAGTGCTCATCATGCCCAGTAGGAAGTTCTGCTCCTCACCCTTCCCCTTTCTTGATTTCCAGTGACCGTGCATGCCCATCAGTCAGCTCCCAGTCGTTAGAACATGTGTTGTTTGTTTGCTCATTCCTGAGATACTTCCTTTATGATGATGGTCTCCAAGTCCATCCAAGTTGCTGCAAAAGCCACCCCTCTTTATGGTAGAGTGGCACTGCAGGGCGGCCCTTGTTTTCATGATCAGAGGGCACTCCTCAATGTGACAGTCCACCAGGTGGTCCTCCTGCCTTTTACCAGGACATTCTTGTCCTAGCTGGAGGACAGTTCAGTCTCATGGGATTCCTTTTTTAGTTTTTAGTGTTTTCATGAACTACGTGGCATTTGGACCAAGTGCTTCCCTCCCCCACCCTTTTTTTAAGAAAACCTTAATTTTTCTGAAACAGTATCATATAGAATTATAAGTAGGACCAATGGAATCTCTAGGCTTCTAAAGAATTAATTGCCTGTAATTTGAGATTAAAGTATAAGGGGGTTCAGAGAGATGAGTTATACTTTGTAATTTTGAAATAGAGAAATACCAGACACTGACTCAAGCTGCAGAGATATAATCTATGAGAAAATATTTTAAAAATATGTAATATTTTAAGTGCTTTACTGCAGACTAATAGAGCTTTAAATGAGAATGATGATTCCAGAAAGGTAGAAAATAGTCCAGAAATATAAAATAAGATAATGTAACTTTGCTGGCTTTTCTTCTCAGGGACTTTCTCACGTGTCACTGCTCCTCAGGTGTCCCCTAGACCCTCACCCAGATGAGCCCTCCTCTGCCCTGGGCTCCCCAGCATTTTTCTTACATCTCTTGTTTTTTTTTTTTTGAGACAAGCCTCAAGCTGTCCCCCTGGGTAGAGTGCTGTGGCATCACAGCTCACAGCAACCTCCAACTCCTGGACTCAAGCGAGTCTCTTGCCTCAGCCTCCCAAGTAGCTGGGACCACAGGCGCCCGTCACAATGCCCGGCTATTTTTTGGTTGCAGCCGTCATTGTTGTTTGGCGGGCCTGGGCTGGATTCGAACCCGCCACCTTAGGTGTATGTGGCTGGCGCCTTAGCCACTTGAGCCACAGGCGCCGAGCCCACATCTCTTGTTTTAATCTGCCTTGTGTTTCTTTCTGTCCACATCTCATATGCTGCTCTCTCCTTCCTTCATGGTCACCAGACCTTAAGTTCCTTGATGACACACTTTACCTTATCTATTTTTGCATCTCCTGGAATACCTAAACAATAATAAGTGCTCTCAATAGCCAGAGAAAAAACAAAAATACCATCCAAGGCAAGCTGCCATTAATGGGATGATGAGTAAAGTTCCTCGGTAGTTTCCTAGTGGACCTAGCGGCACCCTGCTGGTTTATGAAAGACTGGGAAGATAAACTCTCCTCTCAGGGCAGACAAAGGCACAGTCTCTCTTTGGTTTCACTATTAGTGTTAAAATACTGTCGATATGATACTTTGAATTTTAAGCTTGGTTGTGTGAATTTGTATTTCAGCACCTCGAGTAATACAGTTAGAAGGAAATTCGTGTGAAATTTTATGGGAGACGGTACCACCCATGAAAGGCGATGCTGTCAACTACATTCTGCAGGTATTGGTTGGAAGAGAATCTGAATACAAACAGGTAAGAGCCAGTGTGCAGCCCACGTGCGGCTCCCCTCACCTCTGCCCATCTCTGCCTGTGGTTCAGGAAGCTACCTTTCTCTTAACGTCAGTGGTAAAAATTGCCTGGCGTGTACCTGTTGCCTAATCCTTCAGCGTACATAAGCCTAGTTTTATATTTCATTTTTTATATGGTGGCATTCATCTTAAATTTCCAGTTCTTTGGTCTATGCTTATCTTGTAGAGAGTTTTAAATAGCCTATTTGTATTTGACATTGGCAATGATGTTTGCAGTTATTAGTGTAATTAAAAACTGAAGTACCAGTGATTATACCACAGAGGGGGGAGTAGCTTGACCTAACCACCGAACCTCGTCCTGACTCCTTTTCTAATAGCAGTGTTGGAAGGCTGGGCCAGTGGTGCTTGGGCTCTAGAGGTCTGTGATGTGGAAGCTGCAGGTCTGAGTCATGCTTGTCACCCAGGAATCTGTGAAAATGTAGATTGTGGTTTGGTAGGTCTTAGCTGAGGGTTCAGGCTCCTGCGTAATACTGAGGTTGCTGGTCCATGTACATAATTTAAGCAGAAAGGCTGTATAAATCACATCATGACCCCAGGCAAGAGAGAATGAATTGGAATATGCCCAGAGAAAGAATTCAGTTTTGTCATATTTCACATTCCTTGTTGATAATTAATTTTTCCAAAGAAGAGTCAGGTCACTGGCTCTGAGGGTTCAGACACTCTGTAGGTTTCCATAACAGTCCCTGGAATGTAACAACGGCTTATATGAAATCAGAATATGGTACTGTTCATTCCATTGAGAAATCAGAGTCCCATTCCTTGCCAGTGTTTTGGTAGGGCTTATTTATATGGAACTTAAGTGTTGAAGTGCAGCGTAATCTGTGGAGATTTCTTGAGTCAGCTTTTGAGGCTCCACATGTACAAGACAAGTAGAAGATAATGGGGTTTGGGGTTTTTGTTAGGATGCTGGCTGGTGCTTCCTACAAAGAAAGAGTAATTACAAAGAAAACGTGTAAAAAAATCAAAGAAATTTTTGGACATTTTGCTGTATTTTGTTAATATGAAGCAGCAAATAAAAGAATTTTAAAAACACATTCCACAAGCACTTAATCTTAACTATGACTATTGCCAGTATTGATCACCATCAGCACCTGATGTCACCAAAGTTTCTATCATCCCCTTAAGGAAGAGCAGACACTTTCGGTTTCAGTCTCATTTATACAATACATCCCATTCCAGAGTAAATAGCTTCATTTTATCTGTTTCATCTCACCCGAAAGTTAGGATTGGTTTCAGGGTTTTAGCTCAAACCCCAGGAGATTTAGCGTCTTTAACATCATTACCATTTGCCCACTCTATAGCAATGCATTATAAAAATGAGTAAAACAGAGGTGGGGCGTTAGAAAAGTTTGCAGCATGTCCTTCGACACTTAACAATAATTTATTTTCCAGCAGTACATTCATTGTTTTTTAAAAAGCTTTATTCCATGTACCATACTTTTCTACCTCTTTCCAGGAAAAATGTTCTGCTTCTCAAAGCATCGTAACTGGCATTCCACACTAGGAAGCAGCCCTGTTCGCTCAATCCCTGTACACGTCAGCATTGCCAAAGTATACGTGGACCTGTTCAATAATTTGGATTTTATTGGCAGCTAGACTATTTTCAATCTGTTGTTTGGTTAATGACAATATATTTAGACCCACAGACATATAAATACTAATGTATATAATCTTAAATGCTGCACAATATTTTTTGTATTGTATAAGGCTATAAACGAGTATTTCCTTTTAAAAACAGGTGAAGACACAGCACTTCAGGGCATGGCTAGCAGATGGGATTAACATCCTTTACCTGTCTATGTATTTCCTCATTTACCAAGAAATGATTAAGGGCAAGTTGTGATACATGAAAAGCCACAGTTGAATCAGGGACAGTTTGTACTGGGTTTATTTTTGGTGTCTGCGTATTCAGTACACAATAACTTAAACATGATGTTTTGAGTACTCCATTGACCGGTTCTGGACCCGTGCTAGGGGATGAAACCGACTTGTGTGCAGAGCAATGGTTAAAATAATTATAGTACAGGAATAACAGAGGGTGGGCTTTGAATCATAGAGGCAAAGCAAAAGAAAACTGGAGGTAGTCACTTCCACGTACACCACACAGCAGGGCTGCAGGCTGCTCAGTGACAGCACTGACCAGACAGGTCAGGGCTTCTTACTCATCTTGTGTCTCCAGGACTGACGAACGTGGAGTTAGGTACTTGGTAAATGTTTCTTGCATGCAAAGCGGGCAGCTTCAAAGTAGCAGGGTTATTCATATTTGTAGTGATGATACCAGTAAATTCAGCATGGAATGGATTTAGGAGTGATCTTTAGAACTTAGGTGAAAAAATCACCCATAAAACAAGAATGTCCTTCTCTACCACAGGCTTATTTTCACAGGCAACATATGAAAAAGGCCGTGGCCTTTCTGAGGTTTTGGTTGAAGCGTTGACTTTAACTTCTAGCACCAATTAGCTTTCTTTTATTCTGTTTTTGTGATGTGGGGTAAGCAGCTGACTTTAATTACTAAACAATCTATTAACATAAAGAATTCAGTCCTTATCTGGATGCTGCTCTGAATCAGAAGGCATGCATGTATCTGTCTGGTTCTCCTGCCACTTAGCAAACATTCCAAGCATGAGTTTTTCTTAGGAAACATAAAACTTCTTTCCCAGTAGGATTAATTGTAAAGCATTCTTGAAATATATGAAAATTATGTCTATATGCATGCGACTTTATTTTGCACAAGATACGTAGCCAGTTTAATATATACATAATAAGTAAGGTAAAATAATTCATATTTATATCTCTATTCAGACAGTAGTAACTCTTAACCAAAAAATGTTCACTTATAAGCATTAAAAATGAGAAAAGAGTCAGCAAACTGCAGGGAATTACGCCTGTCAGCAGTCAGTGTTTGTGACAAATTGGTGCTCAGATTGGTTGCAATGAGAAGGAAACCTTTGAGGTATCTGAAAATCTAAAGAGTTCTGTATTTAATTTGATGGCATCCCTGTATAAATATATTTTTATCTTGTATCATTTTTAGAATATAATATGAAGATGTACATGGACCTGTCGTGGTATCAGAAAGCACCACAAGGGAAGCTCTTCTCTTGACCCCACTGTTGTAAAGTCTTGGAGCCTAAAGCCTCCACCATCCTTAGTGTTTTCAACTCATCTCCGCAACCCTGAATTTAAACAGCAAGGCTGTGACTGTTGAGTAGCACTTTAAAACATTTTTTTGCTTGAGTAAAGCATCGAACTCAAAATTAAAATAGATCAAGATGAAGATCTTTAAAACCCATCATTCATTTTACTGATTCTAAATTTATTTCACAGATCTTTCTAAGTATCTGAAGGCCATGACCCTTTATGCCAGAAAAATTCCCATGCACATGTCCACTTAAAATTCATATAAAATGAATTCAGTTTTATGGAGTCCAGGTCTGGGATCCCTAGTTTACTGAGACACTGTTAGGTATTTTGTACTGTATAGGATGCCTGGCACAGTCAGCACTCAGAGAGTTGTAAGCCCATCAGGTGAAGAAAAGCATAGATACTCCCAGGCAGGCGCGGTGGCTCACACCTATAATCCCAGCACTCTGGGAGTCCATGGTGGGAGGATCCCTTCAGCTAAGGTGTTTAAGACCAGCCTGAGCAAGAGTGAGACCCCCATCTCTACTAAAATTAGAAGAACTAGCTGGGAGTTGTAGGGGCCACCTATAGTCCCAGCTACTTGGGAGGCTGAGGCAAGAGGATCACTTGAGCCCAAGAGTTTGAGGTTGCTGTGAGCTGTGACAGCACTGCACTCTACCCAGCGTGACAGAGTGAGGATCTCTTCTCACAAAAAAAAAATAATAATAATAATTAAAAATAAATTTAAAAAAGCATACTCCCAGGAAGCAGATCAGTAACAATGCCCTGCCTATTGTCTGTGGCTAAGGGATGGAGCCGCCTGCCTGCCCAGTGCTGTGTCTCAACACAGAGGGCCACAGGGTAGCCTAGAAGGGGAGCAACGCCAGGGCAGCTCTGCCTCGTCCTTGTGTGATTACTGGAGGGATTGGTTCCTCTTGCTGAGCCCCAGAAGTGGAGCTAACAGTCCTCCAAGTCAGACTGTCTCTGTGAACACCAGGCCTGTTCAGGAGTGAGGAAGGGCTGTGTAGGTGACAGCATGGCATGATAAGGCCCCTTCCCAGTCTGAGAGTGGTGACATCGGTCCAGAAGTTTGGGGAGCTGCTAGCAGCCCAGCACATGCGTTCTCAGCCACCTTCCCTGGAAAGCTCTCTAGCATTTTACAGTCCTGTACACAGCACAGCATTTTGAATTAAGGCTTATAGATTCTTTACTTCAGTTATCTGGATATTACTTTAAATCTTCCCATCTGGAATAAACTTGTCAAAATTACTTTAAAAGATACTGTTCTTCAAAGCAAGAACAAAAATAGCCTTTGTAAAAATAATATTGCTTCTGTCCTTACTACAATATTGTGACTACAGTAAAGAAAATCTTGAATGGGCCTCTGCCTTTTACATGGGGTTGAGTCAGGAGGAGAAGCCACATGGGTCTCTGTCTGTGAGAGAAAGTAAAGAGAGTGGCCTGGCCCTGCCCTGACACATGGAGTGCACAGCCCCATGGAAGCACAGCTGTGCCTCGCTGCCAGCATCAGGCCCTAAGCATGGCTGGGCTGTGCGTGCCGCAGGCTTGCTGCAGAAACCAGGACAGGATCCTCAGGCTCCTTCAGTTGGCTGCTGCAGGTCCTGTGATTGTGGGCCCCGGTACCCTGGCACTGGGGTGTGTCCTCCTGGGGGTGGGGCGTGCAGCTCTGGGATGGAGCAGCCCCATGGGCATTTCTCACACGCCTGCTGCTGCCAGATGCTATCCTCAGGGTCACTCTGTGTGGCCCCGTTTAATCTTCCCCGGGATCTCACCAAACTCAGTGGGTCTCTGTTTGGAAGG